ATGATACTAAGATGGCGCCGCAGACGGCAGCCGCAGTGTTTGGCTCTCCAGTGTTTGTACTGTTTTTGTTAGTTTTTCCTGTTTTTTGTTTCTCAAACACGATCAGTTTTACCAGGGATGAGCTGCTGAACATTCGGCAGAACACACCACACAATCTTCTACCGGATTTCGTTTATTCGGACGTTTTGCTGAACGTTGTACTTGGCGGAGCTGCTGCGCTGATCAAACGCTTCAGGACGCGCAGACGGGGGAAGCGAGCCGGCGCGCTCGTGAAGCTCAGGAAGCGCGGATTCAGAACGCCGTTGCCGAGCATCCATCTGGCGAATCTCCGCTCTCTACCCAACAAAACGGACGAACTTCTTCTGCTCTCCCAGACAAATAAGGATTTTTCACACTCTGCTGCTCTGTGTTTCACGGAAACCTGGCTGAATGACGCCATTCCGGACAGCGCGCTACAACTGCCGGGCTTTCAGCTGTTTAGAGCAGACCGCGATGCAGAATCAACGGGGAAATCACGCGGCGGCGGGACATGCTTTTACATCAACGAAAGGTGGTGTACAGATGTTACAGCGTTAAAGAAGATGTGCTGTTCCGATCTAGAAGCGCTTTTCATTAACTGTAAGCCGTTCTATTCGCCGCGGGAGTTTCACTCGTTCATTCTCGTGAGTATTTACATCCCTCCGCAAGCACACGTGAGCTCAGCTTTACAGAAACTCGCTGATCTGATCACAGAGACAGAGCAACAACACCCGGACTCTGTTTTAATCATTCTCGGGGACTTTAATAAAGCAAATCTTTCCCGTGAACTGCCAAAATACAGACAGCATATTACATGTCCCACCAGAGACAGTAGTATACTGGACCATTGTTACTCCACAATAAAGGATGCATATCGCTCGGTCCCCAGAGCAGCTGTAGGACTCTCTGACCACTGCCTGGTTCATCTTATACCGACCTACAGGCATAAACTTAAATCTGCTAAACCTGTAGTAAAGTCTGTAAAGAGGTGGACCAACGAAACAGAGCAGGCATTGCAAGCCTGTTTCGACTGCACTGATTGGAGTGTTTTTGAAGCAGCCACCAATGATCTGGACGAGCTCACAGAATCTGTAACATCATATATCAGTTTCTGTGAAGACATGTGTATCCCTACCAGGACTCATTTGACATTCAATAATGATAAGTCATGGTTTACAGCAAAACTTCGTCATCTTCGTCAGGCCAAAGAGGACGCCTACAAAAGGGGGGACAGAGTCTTGTACAATCAGGCCAGAAACACACTGAATAAGGAGATTAGAGTGGCCAAGAGGAACTACGCTAAAAAACTAGAACACCAGTTTTCTGCGAATGAGCCTGCATCAGTGTGGAAAGGCCTGAAGGACATCACCAACTACAAGACACCATCCCCCAGCACTGAGGCCAATCAACAACTTGCTGAAGACCTGAATGGGTTTTACTGTAGATTTGAAACTCCCAGTCTAACACCCCACACCCGCTCTGAACATCTCTCCACACAACCATCAACACCTCCTGCAACCCCCCTCTCCCCCACTCCTACGTTTCAGATCAGTGAGGATGATGTGCGCCAGGTCTTCAGGAAGAACAAGAGAAGAAAAGCACCAGGCCCAGACGGTGTGACACCAGCCTGTCTGAAAACCTGCTCTGACCAACTGGCCCCCATCTTCTCACAGATCTTCAACAGATCACTGGAGCTGTGCAAAGTCCCTGCCTGCTTCAAACGCTCCACCATCATCCCCATCCCAAAGAAACCTAAGATACCAGGACTTAATGACTACAGACCTGTGGCCCTAACGTCTGTGGTCATGAAGACATTTGAGAGGTTGGTGTTGGCTTATCTGAAGGACATTACTGGACCCTTACTAGACCCCCTGCAGTTTGCTTACCGAGCAAACAGGTCCGTGGATGATGCAGTCAATATGGGACTGCACTTCATCCTGCAACATCTGGACAAAACAGGGACTTATGTGAGGATCCTGTTTGTGGACTTTAGCTCCGCTTTCAACACCATCATCCCAACACTCCTCCAGACCAAACTAACCCAGCTCTCTGTCCCTAGCTCTATCTGTCAATGGATCACCAGCTTTCTGACAGATAGGCAACAGCTAGTGAGAACTGGTAAATTCACATCCAACAACCTCACCACCAGAACTGGCACCCCTCAGGGTTGCGTCCTCTCCCCACTGTTCTTCTCCCTCTACACCAACGACTGCCCCTCTAAAGACCCCTCTGTCAAGCTCCTGCATATGCAGATGACACTACAGTCATCGGTCTCATCAAGGATGGAGATGAGTCTGCTTACAGACAGGAGGTTAAAGAGCTGGCTGTCTGGTGCGGTCTTAACAACTTGGAGCTGAACACCCTCAAAACTGTGGAGATGATCGTGGACTTCAGGAGGAACCCCCCTGCACTTTTTTTGTGGTTTATATTTATGCATGTGTATTTTATTCACATCTCATTTTTATTATCTAGAAATTCCTTGTATGTGCAAACATACTTGGCAATAAAGCTCTTTCTGATTCTGATTCTGATTATACCTGTCCACCCACTGGTACTTGGCCTTGGGAATACCAGCAGCACTGTAGCGATTGGCCAGCCCACAGTACATTGACTCCAGGGACTGCTCACTTTCACTCTGCAGTATCACCCAGGACAGAATCATCCAGTTCTCGTTCATCACAGCATAGGATGACATTGTGCCAGATAAGAGGGTCACTTTTCTAGCAACTTTACGTGTGTGATCTGACCTGAACACCTGTCCAAACGTTCCTTGTAGGAGCTGAGTGAGAGCTGCTTCCTGCCGCTGATATTCATGAAGAAGACACTCTACTAAATAGTGTGCAGAGACAGACACCCCATGCCACCCATCAGTGTCTTCGTAACTCCGAAACGGTGCAGGGGAGTCATCCTTCCTCAGTGCCCCAGGGATGGTTTTCTGACCATACAGCCCTGCTTCAGCATCCCTGACGTTCTGCACACTGAGAAGGTAGGCCAGATGGGCTCTTTCATATTTAAGGTGAAGCACCTCAGAGAGCTGGTTGGCCATGTCATTAGGGGATTTTCCAGAGCGCCTCAGTTCATCCATCACCGTTTTACAGATTGTCTTCTTATAGGTGAGGAAGGCTGGCAAGACGTTTCTGAATCGCTGTGGTAGCATGTCCAGCCACTGAGGTTTATCAGTGAACCAGTATCTTTTGCATGCCTTACAACACAGATGTGAAGCAAGGATGTAATATTGCCCAGTAGTACCAAGGATCACTTGGGGTCTTCCCACAGCAGAGGACACAACATTAGGATTTTGACAGCCGTAAAGACAAGGCAGGATGTAATTGTTCCTAAGCCTTTCCATTACACTGTGCTCAGGTTTCCAAATGAAAATGGGATGGAGCTGGAAGTATTTGGGTGACGGAAGGCCAGTGTTTGTGTCTATAAGCTCAGGCTGAGGTGGATAGTGCCACAAGGAGACCATATTCATGAGGTGTCTTACTGGGTGTGATCCTGGCCAGAGCCCCATGGACTCCATCTCTGTCTTCATCCAAATTCTTTGATGAAGAGAGCCGTTCCAGCGGCTAATATCTTGCAAGTAGCTAGGAACAGGTGCTTCTGTCTGTGCAGACGGCATTGATGCAGGAGCTGTAGGTGCTGATTGTGCAGCAGGAGGTGGTACAGAGCCATCAGTCTGTGAAGAAGGCATACTGGGACTGGGAGAACTAGAGACTGCATGTGATGTCGGCAGAACTGCGTGGAACACAATATATATATATATGTGTGTGTGTGTGTGTGTGTGTGTGTGTGTGTGTGTATGTGTGTGTGTGTGTATAAACACCGATTGCACATGATGTGTATTTAACTGTCTTTACCTTTTTTGGTCAAGTAGCTGGGAACAGGGGCTTCAGTCAGTGCAGACGGCATTGGTGCAGGTGTTGATTGTGTTGCTGCAGGTGGTACAGAGCCTTCACCCCGTGAAGAAGGCCTACACACAGGAACTGATGTTGATGGAGGCTGTGGCAGACCTGCATGGAACAACACAGGGAGGAAATTAAAAATATATTAAAACACTGAATGTACATGATGTGTATTTAATTGTCTTGACTACATTAAATGACTCATTTAATGTAACTCATGAATTGTTGTTTATTCTATCATCATTCTATTTATTCTAGTAATGCAAATTCTAATAATGTTCAACAGTCTGTAAGTAAACATTCCACTTATAACAACAAATAAAACTTTAAATACCATGCATACAATTCATGAAGTGCACTCACCCTCACCACTGGTATGTTCAACCCTTAACAGTAGCTAGAACAAAAGAACATGTTTTTTAGAACAGGCAAGAACACTGCCAAAACAACAAATAAGATAATTAAATTCAGAAATGGAGGATAAGTCTGTATGTAACAGAATGAGCCTCCAAATCTGATGTGGAAAGTAACCTGCTGTAGATAAGACTGTGGATCCCGTGGCTGCAGATGATCCTGAAAATTAAGCGTTATAATTTGAACAGTTTTGCTCCAGTATGTGCAATTGTATGCGTCATAAACATGCTGAACGTGACATGTCTCTGTATAACACACATGACATGATTCTTGATTCACTTACTCAGCTGTGTGAGATATTTTGTTGGAGAAAGACTCAGCATCATCCTCTCCAGTTCTTCATCCTCCTCCATCACTATAAAACAAAAGCAATGCATCAGTAGGCTTTAAGCATCAATATAAGCAAATTTGCATGAATTTGATTAACTTACCAGGCTGATCAGAGTCAGTACTGGAAGGAACAAGTGGTATTGCAGTGGAAGCTGGTGGTGAGGGCAACGGAGGAGTGTTTATCGTCAGCTGTTTTTGCTGCTGTTTTAAAAGATACAAGTTGTACATTTTGCTGCCTGGAGCACACTTCTGCTTCATTATAAAGGAAACATATCCGTCTGCCCTGGTATCCCAAATTTTCCTCCAAGTGTCTTGTGCTCTTGTTCCAAATCCAACAGTATTGTCATCCTCTATCAAAACTGGCAATGGATCTGGCCTTTGAGACAGATACCATTTAAGATCCTCAATTTCCTTAAAGCTTCTTGAGTATTCAAGAAAGGAAATGAGGCTATCTTTGCAAGGACCCTCTGGGTTGAACTGCCCAGCCTGTTCTTCTTCCTCAACCTTATCGGACAGGTACAAAGCATAGCCGACATCATTCTCTAGTAACCACCAGAAAGACTTGCCCTTGTACTTGCCGAACTGAAGAATGTATTCTCCCAACACCTCTTGCTTGTCAGAGACATCCCCTCCTCTCTGTAACACCACAGAATGCGCATTCATCCGGACCAGATCTTCTCTTTGAGGTGTTGACTTGTCCTGCAATGATGGGCTGTCTTTCATTCTTTTGGCCTCTTCTGATGGGTCCCTTCGTAAATGGCCTGATGGGCCTTTCCTGAAAGACACCTTAACTCTCCCAGGGAAAAAATTGTTTTCTTCATGATGCTGTTCTGAAATCATAGCCACATGAAAATACTTAATATATGTGTGAGTACGTATATAAAATATTTCATATGAAAATGTATACATGTATATATAAAAACAAGTTTAACTAATTAAAAATGTTTTATACACACACACACCCACATTTTAAACTATACCATTAAATTGCACACACAACTTTTTGTAATTATTTTTTTGTAATTTTAATGTAATATATGTGTGTAATACATATTAATTACATTATGAGTATCATATTGCAATATTAACATTTTCTAAAAAAAAATTGAAGTACATAATAAGAGATCAATGATGAAACATTCACAAAAAAAATCTATACAATTATATAAAATAACAGCTGTATTTTTAACAATGAGTTTGGTTTAATGTTTCCTAACATCACAAACCATTCAACACAATTAACAATACCATTACATGAGAATATACATGCAATTTATATGATAATGCATATACAGTACACAGTAAGTTAGTATTGCTAAAGTATAGCATTCAACTTACCTTCTCGGTTTGACAGCTTAATTGTGTTTATCTCGAACTCTGACGTAAAAACAGTGGTCACCTGGGGAATGGTGAAGGTGAAGGTGGTTTAGACAGTAAATGCCTGTCAGCAAACTTGTTTTGTACAACAATTCGGTAAAAACAGATATCTCTCCGATCGTGAGATCTCCCCTCCCCCACTCACAGCGAATGATTGACAGATGACACTAGGCCTCTTAAATTCCCCGCCACGGAAACGGCGAAACAGCGCCATGAAATCAGTAAATGCCTGTCAGCAAACTTGTTTTGTTTTGTACAACGATTCGGTAAAAACAGATATCGCTCCGATCATGAGATCTCCCCTCCTCCACTCACAGCGAATGATTGACAGATGACACTAGGCCTCTTAAATTCCCCGCCACGGAAACGGCGAAACAGCGCCATGAAATCTATGCGTGGCCAAAAATATATTGCATCCGTAGTGTTAAGCACTACCATAGAGAATGAATGGGAAAAGTTAAGGGAAGTTAAACTCAACTATTCTCGGCTCCCGCGCGGATGACTCGGGTTCGATTCCCGGCCAGCACATTTACTTTGGTTTGGGCTGCGAGGGGGTGTCAGCACTCTAGATTACCCTTGGCGAGCGTAGTGGTTTACCACAGGGAGCGCACAGGCGCAAGGACGTGGAGACACAGCTCGAGTTTCTCTTCATTATCGCATAATTCTTTCGCCTTTTATTAAAGATTTCCGTGGAGGGGAACTTTTTGCGATTGATTTGTATTTTTGGAGGCTCTGATCACAGCAGAGCTACACTGGAATGTCAAGAACAGAGTGAGTTTAGCCATCTGCCAACATGTGGTGAAAGGATGCGCAACTGGTCAACTTCTGTATTTACAGCCTTTGCGGTTCCTGCGTCACCGCGTCGTATTTATTTTGCAAGCACGGAAAGACAGCGCTTTTTTGCACCAAAACCTTCTGGAGGTGTCGTTCAGCAGCAGAAAAACAATGGCTCTCCCCATTGGGGAATCAAACACCGGTCTTCCACGTGACAGGCGGAGATACTGTCCACTAAACTAACGAGGCGTTGTGCACCTACAAGTTCGTCCCCAGCTAACACCACTGCACCGACATCACTAAACAAAGCATGGCTTTTTCTTACGCTGACCCAGCCCTTACACCATAAAATACCGGATGGACCCATCATCAGCTGAAGTCGTTTCACTTTTGGAATGCTACACGTTACAGGGGTCATTATTTGGACTCTTTTATTTGTTAAATTGTTTTCTCCAACTTCTCAGATGGAGGCATGAGAAAGAGATTGCATTGCCTTCATTGGGCTTGTGGTTACTGGGCGACCGAAGGGACTTTTGTGACTTTTTCTACACCGTTTGGAGTGAGGGGGTGACGAAATGCAAGTGAGCAGGTGTCGGCACCCTAGATTACCCTTGGCGAGCGTAGTGGTTTACCACAGAGAGCGCACAGGCCCAAGGGCGTGGAGACACAGCTTGAGTTTCTCTTCATTATCGCATAAATCTTTCGCCTTTTATTAAAGATTTCCGTCTTGGGGAGAACTTTTTGCGAGTGACTTGTATTTTTGGAGGCTCTGCTCACAGCAGAGTTACACAAGAATGTTATCAACAGAATGAGTTTGGCCATCTGCCAACACGTGGTGGGAGGATGCGCAACTGGTCAGTTTCTTTATTTGCAGCCTTTGCGGTTCTTGCGTCACCGCGTCGTATTTATTTAGCCAGCACGGAAAGACAGCGCTTTTTTGTACATGACGGGATCCAAACCCTGGACTTGCTCTCTTTAGTGCTGGGCCCAAACAAAGTTTGCATCAGCTCCTCTAGCCCTATCTTACTCATGTGCTTTGAGTGCTCTTACTGACCGCGCAAGCCAGCATCATGCATATGCACTGGTGGTACAGTGGTGAGCATAGCTGCCTTCCAAGCAGTTGACCTGACCCGGGTTCGATTCCCGGCCAATGCATTTCCTTTGGTTTGGGCTGAAGTCAAAGCAGAACTCTTTCTGTAACCTCTGGCTGCACTAAAACCTTCTGGATGTGTCATTCGGCAACAGAAAAACAGTGGCTCTCCCCTTCGGGGAATCAAACCCCTGTCTTCCACGTAACAGGCAGCGATACTGTCCTCTTTACTAACAATGAATTGTGCACATTTTAGTTCGTTCACAGCAAACGCCACTGCACTGACATCACTAAACAAAGTGTGACTTTTTCTTATGCTGACCCAGCCCTTACACCATAAAATACCGGATGGACCCATCATCAGCTGAAGCTGTTTCACTTTTGGAATGCTGCACGTTACAGGGGTCATTATTTGGACTCTTTTATTTGTTAAATTGTTGTCTCCAACTTCTCAGATGGAGGCATGAGAAAGAGATTGCATTGACTTCATTGGGCTTGTGGTTACTGGGTGACCGAAGGGACTTTTGTGACTTTTACTACTCCCGTTTGGAGTGAGGGGTTGACGAAATGCAAGTGGGCAGGTGTCGGCACCCTAGATTACCCTTGGTGAGCACAGTGGTTTACCACAGGGAGCTCACAGGCCCAAGGGCGTGGAGACACAGCTCGAGTTTCTCTTCATTATCGCATAAATCTTTCGCATTTTACTAAACATTTCTGTGGAGGGGAACTTTTTGCGAGTGGCTTGTATTTTTGGAGGCTCTGATCACAGCAGAGCTACACTGGAATGTCAAGAACAGAATGAGTTTGGCCATCTGCCTACACGTGGTGGGAGGTTGCTCAACTGGTCAGTTTCATTATTTGCAGCCTTTGCGGTTCTTGCGTCACCGCGTCATGTTTATTTAGCCAGCACAGAAAGATTGCGCATTTTTGTACGTGACGGGATCCACACCCTGGACTTGGTCTCTTTAGTGCCAGGCCCAAACAAAGATCGCATCAGGTCCTCTAACCCTATCAGTGACTTATGTGCTTTGAGCATTCTTACTGACCGCGCAAGCCAGCATCATCCACATGCGCTGGTGGTATAGTGGTGAGCATAGCTGCCTTCCAAGCAGTTGACTTGGGATCGATTCCTGGTGAACACATTTCCTTTGGTTTGGGCTGAAGTCAACGCAGAACTCCTTCTGTAACCCCTGGCTGCACCAAAACCTTCTGGATGTGACGTTCGGCAACAGAAAAACAATGGCTCTCCCCTTAAGGAAATCGAACCCCGGTCTTCATCGTGACAGGTGGAGATACTGTCCACTATACTAATGAGGACTTGGGCACATAGTAGTTTGCCCCCAGCCAACGCCACTGCACCGACATCACTAAACAAAGCATGGCTTTTTCTTACGCAGATCCAGCCCTTACACTATAAAATACCGTATGGACCCATCATCAGCTGAAGTCGTTTCACTTTTGGAATGCTACACGTTACAGGGGTCATTATTTGGACTCTTTTATTTGTTAAATGGTTTTCTCCAACTTATCAGATGGAGGCATGAGAAAGAGATTGCATTGCCTTCATTGGGCTTGTGGTTACTGGGCGACCGAAGGGACTTTTGTGACTTTTACTACTCCCGTTTGGTGTGAGGGGGTGAAGAAATGCAAAGTGGGCAGGTGTCGGCACCCTAGATTACCCTTGGCGAGCATAGTGGTTTAACACAGGGAGCTCACCGGCCCAAGGGCGTGGAGACACAGCTCGAGTTTTCTGCTTACCAGTGAGCCATTTCAGCACAGATAGAACAAAAGGCTCTCTCTGTTTTTGCCCAGTTTCCAGCTGGGGACTTTCACGTGTAAGGCGAATGTGATGAACAGAAACCTGTCAGAAAAGCTGTCTCATGCTGTTTCAGGTAAAAATGATAATGTAATCTGCCCTGAAACAGATTGACAATCTGAGTAAATCCCACACACTGTAGGACAGAGTTCATTCGGCGTGGCAGTCTGCTCAGAGTTCCTTAAAAACTTGCCTTCTCCTAGCTCAAATTTAAGGTCTTTGCAGCTTCGACCACCTGCTTACCAGAGAGCCATTTCAGCACAGATAGAACAAAAGGCTCTCTCTGTTTTTGCCCAGTTTCCAGCTGGAGACTTTCACCTTTTGTGTGTTAGGCTAATGTGACGACCACTATATTACAGAAACTCAAAAAGTTTACTCTCGTGCTGTTTCAGGTAAAAATGATACTGTAATCTGCCCTGAAACAGATTGACAATCTGAGTAAATCCCACACACTGTAGGACAGAGTTCATTCGGCGTGGCAGTCTGCTCAGAGTTCCTTAAAAACTTGCCTTCTCCTAGCTCAAATTTAAGGTCTTTGCAGCTTCGACCACCTGCTTACCAGAGAGCCATTTCAGCAGAGATAGAACAAAAGCCTCTGTCTGTTTCCGCCCAGTTTCGAGCTAGGGACCTTTCACGTGTAAAGCGAACGTGATGACCACTACACTACAGACACCTGTTGGAAAACCTCCTTTGCTTTAACACCTCTAGGCAGGCTGATCCTTTTGTAGCGTTGCGAGAGAGCGCAACAGACCCCGACTTAAGCAACCTTGGAAAAAGTCATCGTTGTTTTCGCCCAGTTTCGAATTTGGGACCTTTCGCGTATGAGGCTAACGTGATAACCACTATACTACGGAAACTTATCTGGAAAAGCAGGAGGAATTCTCCTGGAACGTCGCAAAGAGTTTATGCATTCTCTCAAAAATAAAACTCTGTTTCTGCTCAGCTTCGAGCCAAGGACCTTTGGTGTCTTAGGCTAATGTGACGACCACTACACTACAGAAACACAAAAGTTTACTCTTGTGCTCTTTCAGGTAAAATTTATACTGTAATCTGTCCTCAAAGCAGATTGACAATCTGAGTAAATCCCACACACAGTAGGACAGAGTTCATTCGGTGTGGCAGTCTGCTCAGAGTTCCTTAAAAACTTGCCTTCTCCTAGCTCAAATTTAAGGTCTTTGCAGCTTCGACCACCTGCTTACCAGAGAGCCATTTCAGCAGAGATAGAACAAAAGCCTCTGTCTGTTTCCACCCAGTTTTGAGCTGGGGACCTTTCACGTGTAAAGTGAACGTGATGACCACTACACTACAGAAACCTGTTGGAAAACCTCCTTTGCTTTAACACCTCTAGGCAGGCTTATCCTTTTGTAGCGTTGCGTGAGAACGCAACAGACCCCGACTTAAGCAACCTTGGAAAAAGTCATCTTCGTTTTCGCCCAGTTTCGAATTTGGGACCTTTCACGTATGAGGCTAACGTGATAACCACTATACTACGGAAACTTATTTGGAAAAGGAGCAGGAATTCTCCTGGAACGTCGCAAAGAGTTTATGCATTCTCTCAAAAATAAAACTCTGTTTCTGCTCAGCTTCGAACCGAGGACCTTTTGCGTGTTAGGCTAACATGACGACCACTATATTACAGAAACTCGAAAAGTTTACACCCGCGCTGTTTTGGGTAAAATTTATACTGTAATCTGCCCTGAAAGCAGATTGACAATCTGAGTAAATCCCACACACAGTAGGACAGAGTTAATTCGGCGTGGCAGTCTGCTCAGAGTTCCTTAAAAACTTGCCTTCTCCTAACTCGAATTTAAGGTCCTTGCAGCTTCGACCACCTGCTTACCAGAGAGCCATTTCAGCAGAGACAGAACAAAAGCCTCTGTCTGTTTCCGCCCAGTTTCGAGCTGTGGACCTTTCGCGTGTAAGGCGAACGTGATGACCACTACACTACAGAAACCTGTCGGAAAGCCTTATTTGCTTGAACACCTCTGGGCAGGCTTATCCTTTTGTAGCATTGCTTGAGAACGCAACAGATCCCCGACTTCAGCAACCTTGGAAAAAGTCATCGTTGTTTTCTCCCATTTTCATACTGGGTACCTTTTGTGTGCGAGGCGAACACGATGACCACTACTCTACAGAAACTTATCCGGAAAAGCAGCAGGAATTCTTCTGGAACGTCGCAAAGAGTTTATGCATTCTCTCAAAAACAAAACTCTGTTTCTGCTCAGCTTCGAACCAAGGACCTTTTGCATGTTAGGCTAACGTGACGACCACTATATTACAGAATCTCGAAAAGTTTACTCTCGGGCTGTTTTGGGTAAAATTTTAAACTGTAATCTGCCCTGAAAGCAGATTGACAATCTGAGTAAATCCCACACACTGTAGGACAGAGTTCAATCGGCGTGGCAGTCTGCTCAGAGTTCCTTAAAAACTTGCCTTCTCCAAGCTCGAATTTAAGGTCTTTGCAGCTTCGACCACCTGCTTACCAGAAAGCCATTTCAGCAGAGACAGATCAAAAGCCTCTGTCTGTTTCCGCCCAGTTTCGAGCTGGGGACCTTTTGGCTGTAAGGCTAACGTGACAACCACTACACTACAGAAACCTGTTGGAAAACCTCCTTTGCTATAACACCTCTAGGCAGGCTTATCCTTTTGTGGCGTTGCGTGAGAACACAACAGACCCCGACTTAAGCAACCTTGGAAAAAGCCATCCTCGTTTTCGCCCAGTTTCGAATTTGGGACCTTTTGCGTGTGAGGCTAACGTGATAACCACTATACTACGGAAACTTATCTGGAAAAGGAACAGGAATTCTCCTGGAACGTCGCAAAGAGTTTATGCATTCTCTCAAAAATAAAACTCTGTTTCTGCTCAGCTTCGAACCGAGGACCTTTGGCGTGTTAGGCTAACGTGACGACCAATATATTACAGAAACTCGAAAAGTTTACTCCCGCGCTGTTTTGGGTAAAATTTATACTGTAAATATATTACAGAAACTCGAAAAGTTTACTCCCGCGCTGTTTTGGGTAAAATTTATACTGTAGGGTTAGGCTTATCCTTTTGTAGCATTGCTTGAGAGTAGAAATGTATGCATGTGAAAGGAGAATGTATGTATGTATATGTATGTATATGTATATATATGTATGTATGTATGTATGTATGTATGTATGTATATATATATATATATATATATGTATATGTATATATGTGTTTTTTCTTCTTTGTTTTTATCTTTTCTTTTTTTTTAGCACCACCCATGCGCCCCAAAATACCTGTGTCCATTCCTAAAGAGTTGATGTTCCTTGTAAAAGATACGACAAAAGTGGAGAGAACGGATTCAACTACAGGTGTGTTTTATGTTAGGTTTAGTGATGCTTTTTTTATTCTAAAGTCACACTGTACATTGTAATTGTTTAGTATTTAAAATCTCATTTAATATTTATAATTCCTCACCTCTTGTATGAGTAATTGTTAATAGATAAATGGTATTCTGTTACAGGAGACAGCAGCACTATAGACACCTCTCGAGTGTGCAGGACACTTACTTTTGAGGAGTGTGGCAAAAGCAGTAAGGCTGTATTGCACTTGAAATTATTCAAATGTTGTGTTAAAAAAAGTCTAATTATACAATTTTATTTATCCATCTTTTTAGAAGATCTCTCTTCTTCAGCAACCACTACATATAGTCTCCAACAGACAGCTGAGGCATCACATGGTAAGATTGTAATTCTACTAGAATTTTGCTCTGGTAGAAAATTAAGGCCTTAAAAAAGGTATTTTAATTAGAACAGAAAGTCTTAAAATTCATAAAGTCATCATGACATTACATTTTGCATTGGGGAAAAAAATGAATATGTTTTTCAGTATTTTTGTCTTGTTTTTCAGTACAAATACCCTTAAATCAAGATACACTTACTTGAGATGCAAAATGAAAATATAAAGTTTTGCTTTGGGAATTTGAACTGAATTAAGTGAGTTTATGATTAAAAATCAACTGTTTGTAAGTGGGATATGAAAACTTGTTTTCCCTTTGAGTTAAGTTTATTTTTTTGACCCCACTGGCAGACATTTGTTCTTGGTTTAATCATAAACTCACTTCATTTTGATCATTTTCACACACAAAAAATCAAGATGACTTCTGGCATTTTGCTTCTCGTGTTTTTTCAAGGCTGTACAGCAGTGGTAACAAATATGTTAACTAAGTTAATAAATAAATGATGCAATATAAAGTAAACACAGTTTATTGATTTTAACTGAACCATACGTTGATCTTTTCAGGAACCCTCCCACCTTCTGAATCCTCCTCTTCCCCTCATACACCCGAGCCACCACACAGTAAGATGTTTTCATAACTCTTTTCTCAAGTGCTACTCTGCCCCAGAAGTGTCCTTTATTATATAGTCTATAATGAGAAGAATTTAACAAAAGTGTAAATGTTATGACATTGCACTAATCTACTTTTTCTTTTTTCATCCGTTTTCTCAGGTGGTCCTTCTGTTTTTGTTCCCCCACTGACACTCAGATCATCCCCTCATACACCTGAGACACCACACAGTAAGATGTTTTTATAACTACTCTGAAGGTTTTACTATGGCCAAAATATGTTTTAATTTATTATACAATCTGTGATGATAATACAATGTGTGAAAATGACTACATATCACAAATTATGTTTTTGTGTTTCATCCTTGTTCCCACAGTTTTTGTTGCCCCACCGGCACAGAGACCAGATCAGGATATAAGCACTTGGACCTGTTCTTATCATCAGAAAGTGTGGATGAAGACAGAGCTCCAATCTCTGGGACTGTGGCCTGGGTCCCACCATATGCTCAAGCCAGGAAACGCCCTTTCATTATGGCGCCTCCCTCCACAGCCAGAACTCATTGACACTGTGTTAGCACTCCCATCCCGCAATTTCTTTCAGCTCCATCCATTTTTTATTTGGAAACCAGAAAGTGACGTCATGGTGAGACTAAGAAATAATTATATACTCCCATGTCTTCATGGTTGTCCAAAGCCAGATATAGTCTCAGCTGGTGTGGGGGTAAGTTAATACCAATTTCCAAAACCATCATTTTAAATATCATTGTAAATGACTTGTTCTTGTCAACATCATCTCAGTAGATGACTAAAATAACAATTAACTTTTCTCTTCATTCCAAATAAATGCATGAAAAAATCTGATTGGCTGTGACATAATTTCCGCTCTTTGGCCAGCTGTTGAAATGCTTCAATTTCATTGGCTGTCAGTGAGTTACAACTATCCGCGGCTGGCCTCATCCCAGTAAATGAGTAAAATAACAATGAACTTTTCTCTTCATTCCAGGAACCTCAAATACTCCACCCCTGCCTTTGCAGTCCTCACCAAGGAGTGCCCGCACTGGACCAATCAAGACTGGTGGACGAGTGTTCGTCTTAGACCACAAGCGCTGGACATCACCAATGAAGGAGGCTATCGACAGCCTCCTACACAATTACCATGGACAGAAAGACAAGTTGAAGCTTGTGGATCAAGACTATGCAGCTATGGTCCATCGGTCTGCCACAGATCCAAACAGTCTACTTCACCCCACAACCAAATACCATATAACACAGTACATAAAACACCTGGCTAAACAGGTAAACACAAGTTCATCACTGAACACCAGTCCAGAAAAACTTTTGGAGACACAAAAACTGTGGCAAAGTTTAACTGAGGAAAGTAAGACTGCCCATGTCCCAGTTGTAGAACTGCCACCAGCCATTGTGAATCCAGCAGATCCAGTCTCACAGCCAGCATCTGAACAGTCACTAACACAGGAGAATGTACAGAAAATAGTAAAGGATATATTGCTACATCAGCAGGAGCAGCAACAGCAGCAGCAA